AAACACACAGTCAAGTCTCTACATGAGATGAATGCAAATAAGAGGGTCGGGGGACAGTTCAGGCCTGGGGGAAGCAGCAGCCATTCCTCTCCTCCAGCCCCGCAGCAGCCCTGTTTTACCTGGGACATTCCCTGTTGTCTTGCCTCTTGCGGCACAACCCTCTGCTGGAGCTAGGCAGGGACATCGCTGCAGTATCATCTTCCCAGGCAGGAGGGGTGCTTTTCCAGATATTTTTTAATCCAGCTTTGCCTTTTATTACAAGGGACAAGGAAGCATATGCTCACTTAGTGTCTTATAATAAATTAGCTCCATCATTTTGCCAAGCTTTTTAATGACAGAGCAATGGTATCACCAAGTCAAACTCACAGTTGACACCAAGTCATTACCTCAGATATTCAAATCACAAATTAATACTGCAGGCCAGGGCTCTCAAATATAGCACCGACCAGGTGGTTCTAGACGGAGGAGCCTTGTCATCTGGCCCAGGAAGAGGACAGTGAGGAACCTGGTGGCAGAATTAGTTGCCACCACTCTGAGAGCCACAACAATTTATGGTGCTGCCATCAAAGTCCACCCCCGTGGGCCAATTGTCATAGCACCGTGCTCTGCATGCAACCTGCACAATGGCCGCAAAGGGGCCAGATGATTTTGAACTCCGCTGTAGGCAGCTAAATAAGGAAATTTCATCCAAGCCTAGCTGCCCATTGGACTAATGCAGGTAAGGCACAAAGGAGCGATGTGGATGGTGGCTGCCTCTGTGTTGCACAAATGACCAATTGCCTCAAGTGATGAGCGAGACCTTATGGGGGAGATATGTCAAGATGCCATGTTTATTGATTATAAGATTCAAAAGAGCTCTCATACACACACACACACACACAGAGTCACAGTCACACTCACAATCACTCTGCAGATGTTATAGAACCAAAGTTCACTGCTCAATGCTACACTCAGGTGGCCAACCTAGTGAGCATGAGAAGTTAGGAACAGGGCATACAGATGCATCTATGTTCCAGTGAAGTTGCTAGTGTGTCCCGACTTTTTTGAGTCAAAGCGGCTGTTCTGTGTCATTTCATCAAAAGAGTTTCCCATTTCGTGCCTGTTCTGCCCATAGGCTATAATGAGGAAGGTCAAAACAGGCTATAACTTTGTCATTTCTACCTTGATTTTGATGAAACATATAGCAATGGTAGCCCATTCTGAGCACATGACACCTGCCAACACTCAAGGAGATAGGTGAGGGGGTTTGGAGAAACTGCATCCCAAATTCTTGACAGCAAAACTCCTGTCATTTGTATGTTTGAAGCCACAGCGGCATTAAAACTGCAGACTTGCTAGTCCCTGCTGAGGCCACAAAGCCTGCCACGTTCCAACGAGATAGGTGCAGGGGCACTCTGGGCTCTGGGACCCTGCACCTCTGGCTGTTGACAGGCAAAACTCGTGACACTGGTGAGCGACACTGTGTGTGTGTTCAGGTGTGCCCTTCCTGGCACTGGGGCCTCTGCACAACATGGCAGTGTGCCCCAGTGATACCACAGTGAGGACTGTGTGCATGCATTAGCTGGAGGTTATGGCACCTCCTACCCACCTTTCACCAGGGGATCGTTGGTCCTGGCATTTATGGGGCTGCCACGCTGCCAGCAGTCCCACCAGGCCTCCCTACCCTGGCAGGGTGCAGTTTTAGTGGTCATGCCCAGGACCTGGGGCCTGCTCCTTCCCCATAGCCTAAATCCCATACCTCCAAGTTCATCCTGGCAGGGGAATGAGCTCAGCAGGGACATGCTCTTCCCCTGCTGTCTGGGGGTGCCTTCAATCTGACAGTGGGGCATTACCTGGTTTTTGAAAAATTAAAAAAGGAAATAGATGTGGACGGAGTGAGGAGGGTGGCACTCAGTCCATCTGCACCTGGAGCTTGGGGAACCCTAGCAGAGGGCGGTTCACCTGCAGGAACAACAGCTGCTCCACTAAACCAGCATCCAAGCAGGTGCGGTGGGGTGTCACTACATCCCCAGGGATGCCGAACACCCTCTCACTCGACACACTGGTCAGTAGGCCAAGGGGTCACACACCAGTGGCTCCACATCCTCGGCAACATAGGCAGCCACCAAGGGGTGAGCACTACCTGCCTCATGCTGGGGTCTGGTGGCTTTGGGCCCCACCATAGAAGGCATACACCTGTGATGGAGATCAAGGTTGGCTCATGGATGGCATGCTAGCATGAGACAGTGTATCCCCCTGTTCCACGTCCCCCTGCCTCTGTCATTCTGCCTCCCTGACTTGCTTTACCAGCATCTCCATCCACTGATTCAGTGTTTGGCTGACACATCCAGTGCCCTTCAACCTTGGGTCACACATGGCAGCCAGCACATGGACCATACTGGACTGCAAGGGATCAAGCAATTTCCTGATGCCCTCCTTCAGCTGCCTCACCGCTGCCTGCACATCTGGTGACAGTGGCTGGCCCCAGCCAGGAACATTTTTCCCCTGGAAGCTCTCCATTTGGCTCTGAAGTTCCCTCACTATGGGTATCACCTGGCTAAGGAGGGCAGCAGCAGCACCAAGGCTCTTGGGGGCCTACAGGAAGGGCTTGAGGACCACCGAGATCTGGGAGATGGTATCCCACAAAGCTAGTTCAGAGGGCGGTCGATCCCAACCTCCCAAGCAGGGCCATCTCATGGGTGGCCTTCTGTTGCTCCACCAGCCTCTTGAGCATCAGGAATGTGGAGTTCTGCCGAATCTCCACATCCTGCATGATTTTGTGTTGCAGGATGTTCAGCTCTGTTTGTTTGTCCCACAGCATCTTGCTCCCTAGGTGCTCCAGTGGAAGTAGCTGCCACCTTCCTGCTGATGCTCCAGTGGAAGTAGTTGCCACCTTCCTGCATTTGGAAATGAGCTTGCTGGTGGTGCTGGCTGGCGCCATCACCGGCAGCCGTGTCCCCGTCCAAGGCATCCCTGACAACAAGGTGCAACTTGTGTGCCACAGTGGATGCCAACAAAGTTGGCAACACAGACCACCTTGCCCTTATTGGCCCCATTCTTGGTGACCATGAACCCGCTGGTGAGCTCGTCCTGCCCAGCA